GCCAGGTCCGGCAATTCCTTGGGCTTGCCAATTATTTCCGCAAATTCCTTCACGGTTTTTCCCACATGGTGGGTCCCTTGGTCGCGCTCACCCGGGAGAAGCACACTTTCCATTGGGGGGAGCCCGAACAGACGGCTTTTGACTGGGTCAAGGAGGCCCTGACCTCGGCCCCCCTTCTCCGCATGCCCGTCTTCTCTCAACCTTTCGAGGTTGTCGCGGACGCTTCGGGCTATGCGCTTGGCGCTGCCCTCCTCCAAGATGAGCAACCCATTGCGTTTGAATCCCGCAAGCTCGGGAAGGCGGAGGTTAATTACTCCGCCACCGAGCGCGAGCTCCTGGCGGTCGTCCACGCCCTTCGCGTGTGGCGTTGCTTTCTGGAGGGCGCCTCCTTTCGAGTCGTCACGGACCATTGTCCCCTGACATACCTCAAGTCCCAGGTTCACCTCAGTTCCCGCCAGGCGCGCTGGTCGGAATTCCTTCAGCAGTTCGACTTTGCCTGGGAATATCGCCCTGGCCGCATCAACTGCGCCGACCCCCTGAGTCGGCACCCCGCTCTTAACCCGACCGACGACCATTCTGCCGGGCCCACTTCGCCCGTGGCCGACACTTCGGCTCCCTCTCGTCCGGTTGCCTTCATTGCGGCGTTGTCTCGTCCCTCCCGCACCGGCCAGGGTCTTACCGGTCTCGCTCAGGACTTGGCGGACGCCTGCATGTCCTACGCTGATCTCCAGCGTGATGCCGCTCGCTATCGGTTGGTCCGTCATGGCGGCCTTTGGTACCACGGTGATCAGGTCTTCGTCCCTCCCTCAATGCGCTTACGCATCATGGAGGCGGGTCACTGTCCCTCCTATGCCGGTCATTTCGGGGAGACAAAGACGGCCGACTTTATTCACCGTTATTATTACTGGCCCCACAGCCGTCGAGACATTGCGGCCTTCGTGGCACAGTGTCATACATGCCAGGTCTCCAAGCCTCGGGCCGGTCCCTCCACGGGGGAATTACAACCTCTCCCCATTCCGGATCACGAGTGGGCTAGTGTTTCCATGGATTTAATCGTTCAGCTCCCTCGGACCACTTCGTTCCCTCACTACGACGCCATCGTCGTTTTTGTGGATCGATTGACCAAAATGGTCCACGTCGAGCCCACCCACAGCGCGATTGACGCCGCTGGCCTGGCCGACCTCTTTATGGAGCGTGTGCATCGTTACCATGGGATTCCCGAGTCTATCATCTCGGATCGCGGCCCCCAGTTTACTTCGGCCTTCTGGCAGGCCTTATTGGCTCGCCTTGGTGTGCAGCCCCACCTCTCCTCTGCCTATCACCCCCAGACTGATGGCCAGACGGAGCGCACGAATCGCACTTTGGAAGACATGCTCCGGCGGTATATTGGGGCTGCTCATACTGACTGGGATCGCCTCCTCTCTTGCGCTGAGTTCGCCATCAACAATGCGAAACAAGAGAGTACCGGTTACTCCCCATTCTTTCTCAACTATGGGCGTCACCCTCAGACCCCTTTCTCTCAATCGCTGCCTCTCAAACAGCGCACCTCCCTGCCCCTTCGCAGCAATGGACGCGGCCTCCGGCGTCGGCCCGCCAAGGCCTGGGCTCAAGCCAACTTGCCCCAAATTCCTGGGGTCCCTGCCTTCCTCCAAGATCGGGAATCCGCATTACGCCGCGCCAAGCAGTGTTTACAGAATGCCCAGCAGCGCATGAAACACTGGGCCGATCTTCGACGGAAGGCAGAGTCGTTTCAAGTGGGGGATCTAGTGCTTTTGTCCACCCAGAACCTCCACTTGAAACATCCCGGTACCAAGAAGCTCTTGCCCAAGTGGCTGGGCCCATTCCGGATTCAGACGCGCATCAATCCCGTCGCTTTCCGGCTAGACCTGCCTGTCGCCCTGCGCCGGTTGCACCCAGTCTTCCATGTTTCCTTGCTGCGCCGGTACATCCAGGGCCATTCGGTGTTGCCTCCTCCTCCTCCCCCGGTGCTTTTGGATGAGGAGCTTGAGTATGAGGTCGAGGCCCTCCTCCCGAAGACCATCGTCCGCCGTGGTCGCACCAGTCAGCCCTACTACTTGGTTAAATGGAAGGGCTATGATATGGGTCACAATTCCTGGGAACCTCTCCGCAACCTCACCCACTGTGAGGAGGCGTTGCAGCGCTTCGCACTCCAGGCTCAGCAGGACCCTTCGCTGATTCGTCCGCCCAAGGAGGCCTTTCAGCCGCCGCTTCGGCGCCCTCCGCCATCTTCGCGCTAGCCCTTGGCTGGTCCTCATGCTCCTCTTGAGCCCCCCCGTTTTGTGTCTTATTTTGCAGCCCTCGTCTCCGGCTGGATGAGCCTGCTCCCCCCTTCCCCGCTGTTCACCAGGCGGGGGTACTCACGGGACGCTCGATGGATCACTCGCCTGATTTGGTTGGAGCAGCGGGATCCTTGATCCCCCCCCTGCCTTCGGGGAGTACCTGGGGGACCTTTCTCCCCTTTCTTTTTCTCTTGCCCTTCCCCTCCTGGCCATTCAGGGGTTGCGGCGCGCATTGGGGACTATTGCGACCCCTATAGGGTGCCCGCATTGTCTCTTCTTGCTTGGTACGGGTTTAGAGGCTGGTGTTGCAAGGTTCTCCACGGATTCTCGGAGGGGGGATGTGCTGGACATGCCACCCCCTCCCTTGTTCCTCACTCCTTGTTACACCTCTTGCCCATCTTGGGGGGGTGCAGTTTCGACTGTATTCCCCTATGTGTGTGTGCCTCTCCTGTCCCGGGCCTTCCCGGGAACCACCTACGCCTTCTTCTGGGTTTCCCGTGGTTGCCTCTATTCGGAGTCCCTCTATACCGTGAGCTCCCAGGCCACTACGCCCAGTCTTGTCCGACGCATCCTTCTTACCCACCTCCTTTGGGTTCGGCACATCACTGGTGCAAGATGTCATTTCCCCTTTGCGCACCATGTTGTTTCCTTCGCGGCTCCTTCCTGCGCTATCTCGGCTGTTCGTCGCCCCCGCACTCTCTTCGCCCCCCGTCCCTTCGGCGGGCTTCTGGCGCCACCTCCCCCCCCGTTCACTGTCCCTCCCGCTTCTCGCATCAGATTGCCCAGTCCTGTCTTCCTCGGACAACCAATCGTCGCGGGTCGCGACTAGGGGGGGGGGGGGAGTAATGTACCGCACTAACCGGTACCCGGGGTTACCGACAATCCCCCTACAGTAACCGGCCCAAGAGGGCTACGGTTACAATAGTGTAGGGGTTAGAGTGCACAGACCGGCACTAGGGCGGGGGCCACCGGTACCTGGGGTACCCCCAGGTACCGGCGCTCGGGTGTGGCCCCAAGTACGTAGTACTTGGGGTCCGGTGCTGGGTCCCGGCTTAATGGCCTTCGAGCGCCCGCACCGGTAGCTCTCTCTCACCCCCTGTTGCGCGCTGCCGCGCAACACTGTCTTTGTACATCATATATTGAATTTTCAATGCCAAATCGTGTCACCCCAAGCGCCATGCCGTTTCGAGGGTTGGTATATTGTGCTGTGAATCTTCACAGGCACTTCCGCTTTCCGTTGCAGATGCCCAGCAACGGACTGTTAAATGTGCTTGAGCAGAATTCGATAAGTTACTACATTTTAGTGGAGTGTTTGAGGACGACCAATCCGACATATTCAACCACTGCCACTGTCCAGTGACGTTCTTGGAGATTATACTAAGGCACTATTTTGAATTTCGTACGCTTAGAGTCAATTTGACTTGGAGCCCAGAAACCCCCACCCCCACGCCCCTCGTCAATCCTTGTTTCGATCCCAGGATGACTCAGAAATATAGCGTAACAATGCCATACAGCTTCGAAACAGTGTTAAGGGAAAAACAGCCAAAATTGTAGCGATAGCAGTGACTTGAAAATGGGATGCCAAAAGCCATGATAGGCGATGGGAGCAGCCCAAAGGCTTGAAAACTGATCCATTCCAAGGATCACCTGGATGATTGAAAGTTTGAGGGAGGTTTGCAACAGGTCAGGAGTTATTCGCCGCTGATCAGCAGCATTTTTTAACATCCTTCCGCTTACTTTGATTTTAGTGCACTTGCATAATCTCCTAAAGTCAATGGCTGAAAACCCCCTTCCCTCCTTCACGTCAATTTGACGTTAAGCATACGAAAGTCAAAAGGTGTCTTCTCTTATTGGATGGGATATGACATCTTGGAATAAAAACAACCACAGTCTTTGCCAGTGGTTCATGTACGGTCCAGAATCCCACAGGCTGGGGATAGTTACCCAGTACTGGGTGTAAGCCTGGTTACCATGATGCAAGGCACGCACACACGTCTCGCTCTCCCTGTCAAAAACGCGCGCGCCCGGAAGCTCCCCAGCGGCTCAAGTTCTCGTCAAGAAGTCAGACGTGGCCGCGATGTCAAGGATCCAGCGAGGGGCTTCGTCCGCGCGTGCCTGCGTGCCGACGCCCTGCTGCTGATCTGGATTGGATGGATTGTAATATGGCATTGTTGGAGACTCGTAAACGAGGCGCATGTTGGAGAAGCGGCGGCGGCGTCGCCAATCCCCATCTCCAGAGGATCCACTGCGTTCAATGTGCGCCCATCGGAGGAAAAGAAGCTCTTGCTGGCCACCCATAACAGATTGCTTTGGTATTTTTACGAACGGGAGGAGGTTGAGGTTCTACACCAGGGCCAGGTAGCCACAGCTCCTCATGTTGCACTGTTTGGCTTCCTGTAGACCTCGTTCTTTCTGAACTGCAACCAGCGCCAGTCACCAACCTAGCGCCATTCGACAACAAGATGCCCAAAGATTGCTGAGGTACATCTCAGCTATGCTCATTCTTTCTATGGCCTGCACAACCCTGCTTTGTAGACTCCTGAAACCCTTGTTGACATTACTAGGACAACCTCCTGAATGTCCAGCTTTGGTTGCAGGGGGTATACTACGGTTTCTTTCCAGGATATTGGGACCCAGATGGAAACCTCAAAGATATCTTTGTCGTCAGTCGTCCTCACAACTGGCATCCCATGAGTGCACATGAAAGACTGCTACACTTGGATGCCTCTACAGGTGTGGTGGACATGCGGAAAAGGACAACCAGTCCACTGACTCAAGGTGCATCCTTCTCTCTGATCTGGCAGCTAAAAAATGCTGGTCGTCTTTGTATTTCTTGCAGGGAAAGAGTTGGACACTGTGTTACTGACATCAAAGTTTACCCATGATGCGGTAATGTGCAGATGCAGTTTCAACAATCAAAGGCATCTGCTTTTCACCTGCTGCTGTATCGTCAATTTTCAACAAATGGTTGCTCCTGTTGCTGCTTTCACGTGGCATCTTTGGTGGGTGGTGGACATCTACTGGCATGACTCTGTGCAGGTTCGCTCAAGTGATCGTGTCTACATTTGTGACACTGGTTCTGGAGCCGTTCTGGAGCTTTCTTTCCCTGGAATGCAACAGGTATTGGGCAAAGTACCCTTTGTCAGCTGCTGTGCAACTGTTGTTGCAGCACTGAAACAGTGCCGTGCATGAGCCCTGAATGAGCGTGATGCTCTGTGCCTCCTGCCCATTTTGGGTACTGTTAGCATGTCCGATTGTGAAGAAGGGGTTTTATGGTTCAGCAGAGAAGCATGATGTTGCTTGCAGTCTTTGCATTCCAACAATTCTGGTGTCAGCACCTGCTAAGGCCTCTGACTCACTGTGCCTCCCTTGCCAACAGTTGCGAAGATTGCCATTGTTCACTCGCAAAGAGCATGTCAACACCCTGGCTCCTGTCACTGAGGGCTCAATGTGGGCAGTGCTGCACAACCTTGGACAGGTGCAGAACAGCAGGAAATGGCTGGATATTTGCGCAAAGCTAGTGACCTGTCAGTGAGACGCCTGCTCATTGGATTCTATCATATCAGCTACAAATTACCCCTGCGTGTTTCCATGAAGCTGTGCACACAAGGTGCTTGGTGCTCAGCAGGAATTTGATGTTATGCTGAATTTGAGGGCAACGAATATAGACAAGTGGTTGCAAAGAAATGGTGCTAAACATGGGGTGCCTGGACGTGGTGAACATGATTTTAAATATGGTGTAATGAGTATGAGATACAGTGGTTATTAATTGAGTTCTCTTGCAGGGAGTGCTATTTGATTTGCGTGATTGTCCTGTAATGCACCTGGTTATGGCTTTGCTTCATGTGCCTGGGAGCGACCATATGGGAGAGACTTGGTCTTTGTCTAGCTCAGTGTTCCAGAAGGTGGCATGATTTCTGGCCATCCAATGTTTTTGTCTGCATGCAGAGTCAGTTGGCCAAGATTGATCTGTCAAGTGGCATGGAAGTTGGTAGATGGAACAACGTTGGAGTGCAATCCCATGGCCTGGTTGAATGGAGATATTGGTTCATCATGCTAGATTCGGGCAATGGTGCACTCCTTCTTGTGAATCCAGACAACGGGAGGCAAATGCAAATTTGGAAGGTCAGTGCATGTATACAGCATTCCTGGATGCTGTCGAATATATGCTGTTCTGTGTGTGCTTCTCTGCATGCTATTTTCCCTTATTGCAGTTGCTCTGCTGAGCTGAAGTATAGGACGAGGCACACTGGTGCAATAGTAGAGCTGGACTGGACATGGGTGCTGCAAATGTTGAGACAGCCTTCCTGAATTTAGGTCAGTGCTGTTGTATTCTCTTGTGTATCATGCCTTCATTTCCACTCTCCCACACTCAATTTTGCTCATGTACTCTGGCCACTCTATCTGCACTGGATACAAACCAATGCCAAATGCATGGTAGCATGAAATATGGCTTGGACATTGCACTTGTGCCTGAATATCTCACAGGCGGTTGATCATGTGGAACACTGTTGAATAATTAGCTGGGATGGAGTGTTGCCTTTCTGGATTGTGAGGGAAATTGCCTGAAATTTCGGCAGATGCTGTTTGACTCAAAGAGCAGAATTGCAACATTTTTGCCAACAGTCTGCAACACAAGCATGTGTTGTCCCTGCAGCTCCCCGACGATGGTAGATATTTGAAAGGCCTGACTGTTGCTGATGACGTTGCGTATTTTGGAATCGCACCTTTGGTTGATCGGCAGAGCAGGGATGACTCACAAATGAGCTGTGAGCTGGGTGCATTTGATCTCATTCGAAATACCCTGCTTTGGAGGAGACAGGTGGGATGCGATTGGTGCAGATGTGGCTAGTATGTGGGGCAGCTAGTGCTGCAGGCATTGTATGCATTGTCCTCGTTCCCAGACCCCTCTGGAATGCCCCACATGGATCTTCTGTGGTATCCATTTGCACTGGCACCACCAAGGCCCGTCCTCATTGGTCCTACAGCAATGAAAAGATGCTGTTCCTGGTTCTAACGACCGTATTTTGATGCATCGTTCAATGTGACGATTGACGCCCTTCTCCGCTGCATCCAACGTGTTCCTCACACTTCATGACAGTTTCACAGCACAAGTCCTGTCAGCAACCCCTTGCTGGTGGAAAAACATGCACGTCTCAGTGTCATACATGATGCCGAATTGACGGAAACAATTTTTTCTCTTACGTGCAGCTGCCCACACATGGCCTGCTCAATGTCGTTGGGGCACCACAATGGGGTGAGTCGTCAACATACAAGGCAGTAACGAGCTGGGCACGAGCGACTCCTGGTGCAATCAGGGATATGTCGCAGGTCAGTAGCGTCGCAGGGCTTGCAATACTCCACATAATGCTCAGCGGTCGTCGATAGCACAGCGAATGGAGCAGGGAGAACGAAACCAATGTTGCTGTACCATCATTATTGATTATGATGCTTGTGGCCCGTCGGCCAGGATCTACGTGCTTGCCAGCGTTTCTTTCAATATGACCCGACAAATGGAATCGTTGCCAGCATAGGGCCAGGTACAGCGACGTTTAGGCGAATACGAGGCGCAAATGGAGCTTTCCTCCTTGTACAAAAGAGTAGAGCTGCTCAAGATGATGTCCATCTTGAAGCTTAACTCGGAAGTCGAGGGTTTGTTGTGTCATGTAAGGTCCCATCTTGGACTCTTGCTTGCTTTCGTTTATAATTTTGCATTCAATATTTGAGGTTCAAATGGAGAATCAAGTCACCAGCACGGACAGTGCGGAGTACGGCACCCTGTCAATAAGTCGCCACGCCCGCTGGGCGAAATGCTTGGTTGAGGTGCTTGTGTCTGCAGTTACAGAATGATTTTGTTGGCGGCCGGTGGGGCAGCGGGGTTCCTTTTCTTAACCTTGAAGCAAAGGGACACGGTTCCAGCAGGGCAGGCCCGCAGTTAATATTGAAACAAGTCAATGTTTCCTTCTTGCTGGTGAGTTACGCGTTACACTGCGGCTACATTACGATGCTCAAAACTAAGTGGTGTGATACTCGAACTGGCATCCTCTCTAGCATCAGTGCTTGTGCCGATGCAGTGCCATATCTGTGCTTACATGGGGGGATGCGTTGGAACCCTGGCTGCGCACGCAATTAGCCAGTGGGACTCCCAGTAGCTTGGAATTGTTGACTAGGATGAATTGACAGTAGTAGTTGACATCACGAGTCGAACGCGTGTTGTGACATTGCATTGGCTGTGGAGATGCCAGGCTGCTGTTTTGCTTTCAAGTGCGAATGCCAACTGCAATTTGAACGATTAAGGAAGTTTTCCAAACAGTTCATGAACGGTTTGGTTCTCTTCTTGACTTGAGTCGATTTCAGTGAAGTTGCGTAGTTTTCGAGCGTGGTGTGCCTCTCCACCACCTCCTCTGAGCACCGATCTAACATTAAGCGTGACAAATCCACATACTGTCATCCCTTAGGGGCCACCGCGCTATGCATGCTCTACGTTGATCTTAAAACACCACGCCACACAGAATGGTGAAGATACATCACAACAACAGAGTGCAATAGCCATCGCCAATGATATGTTACAGGGTGTTCACCTGGCAGCAATGAACATTTAGTGCAATGCACATGAAGTTTTTGTTGAGCACAACGGGCAGATCATTAAGCTTGTGGAGGTTACGGCAAGCTTACACGTGCGCCATTGGATGTGCGCCTATTGTCCACTTGGCTGCTGAATTCGCACATGCCCTCCTGGTGCGTCTCTCGAATGCAAGGAGCAAATCTTGAGCTTATCTTCGGACAAATGGAGCCTGGCTGAGCAGCGCCGTTCCAACGCCGTGTTCACCAATCGTCAGAGCGTGTCCGAGAGGTTTAAACCCGGGATGTTGTCGTTGACGCTAATTTTCTCTGACAACGCCGGGGAGTCTGTGTACTGGTTTCCCTACTTTGATCTGCTCAGACGAGCGCTGGAACCCTTGGTAGAAGAGGTAAGGATGTGAGCCCGTGTTGTCGTGTGTTGCTTGCAAGTTCTATTGGTGCAACTTCCGGTTGTTAACGATTCCCTTCTCCACGTGATTAAAAGCTGTGAGCATAGCGCGGGTTCTCATTAACTGTGCTTTAAGGAATGGAACCATTCGATTTGTTTTGAAGTGCTTCCGTTCTGGCAGATCCTGGGACCTAACGGCATGGACCACGTAATTCGACTCCAATTAGCAAGAATGAAACCTGGAACGGAGGTCAAGAAGCATGTTGACAGTGGGGGCTATGCACAGGTGAGACGCATTGGGAGATACGACTGCAATTGCGCGGCTGCTATAAAGCACTGAACTTTTGCAGTGGACAGTTGTGTCCAGAACCTGCAGTGACAGCGCAGTTCATGCAAGTGTTGGCATGTTGCCGCTTGGGGTCGCTCTTCATGGCGGGCAGCGCAAAAGTCCTCGGCATGGTTGATTGTGGCGCTCACTCAGTCGTTGTCGACAGTATTCGTACCCTGAAAGAGGTTGAAACACACAAGATCTGTAACGTGACTTTCCATGCAGCTGGCCCATCGAATACATGTGCCTCTGACGTCCAACGGGGGCGTCTTGTTTGAGGTGTGCACTCCGGAGGCCAGGAGCACTTCGTTTTTCCACACGGACGAGGAAACGTGCCATGGCATCGACGTGGCGGCCGGGAAGGCGTTCGAGGTGAACAACCGCCTGCCTCACAGGGTCGTGAACTCGGGGCAGACAGACCGAATCCATCTGATCATGGATGCAGTTGAAGGAATTCGGAGGCACACGCTGTTTAGGCCTGGACAGGTTTGTCAATACAAGGAAACAGTGGAGTGCTGACACTCCCCCCCGCCCCACCCTCGACCCCTTGTATCATAATTTACGACCTAGTCACCAGGGGTAGGAGCTCCTGGGAGCGCGGATCCTGAGAGAAAAGCAACAAGGAGGCATGGAGATGGAGACAAAAGGGGGGGGGGAGGCTGTGTGGCAAATCATGGCGCAGTCTGATGGCATCATACTCTTCCTAGACGGATGGAAATTTTGAATGGCGTCTGGTGCAATCACGCCGATGCATCCGCCTGGGTGGTGCTGCATGGGAAGTTTATCTGCCCAGGGCGAATGATCGAGGACGTATGGGGTCAGTACTGCAGGTGGCATTGGCTTCTCAGCAACGGTTGTATTATTGAGTATTAAACTTCAGTCACTGCCACATTGTTTTGATCTATGCCAGCGCGGGCTGCGACGCACGATACCCGGCATTCACATTGTTTAAATCGGGATGCGAATTGTGTGAAATTGACTGCTCTGTGCGCAAGATTCAAGTGTGTCCAATGGTCGAGACTGGCGAATGCGAGTGGCCCTTCAAAGCTTCGAATTCGAACGATGATATGGCGTGTGCACGCATGCCCAACATTGAAGTGGTGCGTCAGGCGTTCGACTCAAACGCGGTTCGCCACGTCAACAGGAGGCAGCAATCTTTCTGCCAGTCACAAAATGCACCGTACGGTCATCCCACACCCCTTCATCCGTAGCCAACTCCAAAATCTTGTGCCGATACTCATTCTCCATTTGCTCCATTTCCGACTCATCCAGCCGAAGCAAGGGCTCGACCTGCACACATCAAGCCGTGAGTTGCACAGACGGGCAAGTGGGGTGCAGTTTGATGAAGTCACGCCTCGGACAGTAGCTTATATTATTAGACGTGAATCTGCCACTCGGTGGGTCCATCCCTTGGGGCACTGTTGTTTCAAAATTTCTCAAATCTTCATTGCCACCTGCGCAGACTGAACAGGCAAAGTTGCTATTCGTGTGTGTGTAATGTGTACACACCTAACTGCACGCCAGGTCCCATGAATTCCAGCAAGCACCCAGAAAATCATGTGCACGTCCTCATATGCAACAGTAGAACACGGCTTCAATACGTCCCCTTTTGCAAATGTTTTAGGATCAAAATTGTTTTGCTGAAACCTTAAACCAAGGTGTGCAGCGTTTTCAACAAATCGCTGTCAAGAGAATTATCTCTTTGGTTGATATATTTGTGTTGTGCTTTTGTTGTTGCAAGGGCGACATAATGACGCCACCCCACGAAGTTTGTTTTGTCAGGGTGACAGATAGCAAACTGAAATATCATTTGCGCACACAACAGAGCTGAGTTCACTCTGGAGCGTGCCAAAAAACACGCTGTTCATTCCAATGGTATGTACCTGCAGTTTTGGCTGGGCGGCTTTGACTAGACTACTTTTTTGTTCAACCCCCCAAGTCGCCGTTTGATTTGCGAATGCTGTTCCAGGTTTTTGCAAGACGCTTGACCGATTAGACTCTATTGGGGCGAATTTTGCCAGACACTTGGACCGCTCGGTATGACATGAACCTACAGGCACACACATTCACAAAACACATAGACACACATCACAAAATGCGCTCGCCATGCAGGCTAAGATTGTGGTCTATCCTATACCTGTCAGATGCAAAGGGTTTGGTGCCGTATGAAGCACAACGTTACCCTTCAATGCGAGCAGCTGCAGCGGATTACGGAGATTGCTGAACAATGTACATACATCTTCCACAAGTCGCAGACGTGGGCCGCGACACAGCTCAACTGCGCCCAGCATGCTCGAGCCTCGATGGACTCACTTGGGAAATCGCTCCCCGCCACAATCTGGCGAGTCCCAACTGGGGCTGATGGCATTCTCTTGCCAGGCGTCCTTCCATATTGGCGGCCTTATTGGCAGTTTTATTCATGATCTGAAGTTCGGGCACAGACACAAATTCGGACAGCAAGCAACGAAACATTGGGTCGAGCACCGCAGTGAAAACGGCACACGGCAATCGCTCGGACGCCGCAGCGTCGCGCTCACCATCGGGTTGTCCGGGCGACCCCACACCAGCGCCTCCTGCACGGGAAGCCACTCCCCGTACTGCCCCGTCTCCACGCGCACGTCCGCGTAGCCCGCCGCCTCCGCCAGCGCCGCGCACTCGCCCGCGGTGTCCGTGGGCGCGTTGAACACAAGCCGCACACCGCGCCGCGCGGCCACCTCGCGCATCGCCGCGCCCCTCACGAACGATCCGTCCGAGAAGCCGTGGAAGGCCATGACGCCCCCGGGGGCCAAAAAGCCCCGCCAGCGCCGGAGCACCCGGGGAATGTCCATCCAGATGATCGCCGAGGAGCAGATCACCGCGTCGAAGCTCCCCGAGGGAAATTCCACCTCCTCCGCGTCTCCGATCATCAGCTCCAAATTCCGGACGCCCTGCTCCTCGGCCTTGCGCCGCGCGACGTCGATCATCCCAACGGCTATATCAATGCCCACGACGCGCCCCGACGGCCCGACCTTCCGCGCGGCCTCCAGCGCGGCCATCCCCGTCCCCGTGGCGACGTCCAGCACCTTCTGGCCTGGCGCCAGGCGCGCGACGGCCACCAGCCTGCGCGCGATCGCCAGGTGCCAGCCGGACAGGGGGGAGTCGTCGTAGCGGGCACTGGCGGCGCTGTAGGTCGCCGCCACGCGGTCCTTGTAGTCGTCGAGACGCATGAAGTCGTCCCTGGCGTCGCGGACGGCGACGTGGCGAGGGGGGGCGCCGGGCACGGGAGCCCGGCGCGCATGGGGACGCGGTGGGTGGGGCTGGCAGCCAGGGATTGGCCTTCCTGGGCAGGGATCGGCCAACGACTTTGGCCGCTTCGGCGTCATGTCGGCGCTCGAGGATGGGCGGCGGCTGCGGCTTCGCAAACCACGGCCGGACACCGTCTGGGCCGCGCCCTCGGGTCGCGCAGAGTCCCAAGAAGGGGTGCGCAATGTGTGCACGCAATTCGCGTCGTCAAGCTTTGTGATGACGTCCAGAATATATCAGTTCCTCTGTCTTCTCCATGAGGACCCTCCCTCTTCCACAAAGAAGGCCAGCGTGGGCCAGTGTTTTAGGGTTGTAGGGTGTCGAAACAAGAAGGGATCTTCACGGAAAAGGCAGAGCGACTGATTTCATGCCGTTCACGTCCTGGTGAGGTGGAAATCCGAGGCGGGGGGCCGGTCCTATAGTGCAGGGGGAACGCCGGCACCGTGCGCACGGGGCCCCAGCGCACGCCAAGGCGTGGCCGTTGTGGGGGCGCACACGCAATATCCAATTGGGGCCGTAAGGTCTTGCGGAGTGGCAAGCTCTGGCATGGTTACTGTCCCCTCACTCCCAACCCCAAACTACTAAGAATGGCAACGCACTGCGCTGTTGTGCACACCTAATCCAAAATTGGTGCACTTTTCACAGCAAATGGCATTTTCATTGTCGCTTCTTTCAGCAACAATTTGAGCAAGGGTCCCAGCAGCATCCGTTTTGTCCCTTTCGCATTCCGCACCCCCCACCCGCCCCGTAATCCCGTCCATCAACCCCACCGCCCCGTACTTTATCCCTCGCCCAGATCCCACCATACCGCACACGGGGCGCCTTAGCTGGCGCCCTCTGCCCCCTGGCCACCGCACGCCCCCATGATCACCTCCGCCGCGCCACGCCTGGCCGCACCCCCCACCCCCCGGCCTGACGCCCCCGCTCCCCGCCGCGGGGCTGCCGCTCGCGCCACCCGCCGCGCGCAAACCCCCTCAGAAGATCCCCCGGGTCGCGGCGATCCGCCCGCGGACGGCAGCCGGCGGGATGTGCTGGGCGGGGCGCTGGCCTTCGGCGTGGGCCGACTGTCGCTGGCCCGGCAGTCCCGGGCGGCCGACCCGCCCGCCAGGGTGGAGGAGCCGGCCCAGGCGCCCGGGGCGGCCTACGGCGCCGTGGTGAACGCCCAGCTGGGCTACCAGTTCGCCTACCCGCTGGAGACCATCTCGCGCAAGGCGCTGCCTCTGGTGTACAGCAGGGAGCCCGTGCACTACTCCGCGGCGGTGCCGCTCAGCACGGACGCCAGGCAGAGGTGGGCGGCGGGGCTGGGAGGGTCGGCGGGATGCGATCTTTGGACCGGTGGGCGGGAAAATGGAAAGCAGTGCGAAGTCGAAAACAGTGTGGCAAAATGAAAAGCAGTGCGGCGAATGTGGGGGGAGCTGGGATGGGATTCGGGACGGCTCACGCCGCAAGGTGAATGGGTGGGAACGTCGGTGACCGGGGGTTGGGTGGGGAGGGCAGGCGGCTGGAGCGGCCGTGAGTGGGGATCAAGGCATGGTGGAATTCTCCGCTGCAGGGATTCTCACAGAGCAGGGTATTGCGCTGCCATTCTCCCCCACGGCGATTGTCAGGGAGTGGCGTGGAAGGATGAAAACCGGGGTGTTTATGTGTGGACTGATGAGGGACTGATAGAGTGGGTCCTATTGGTGGTTGATGCGGTTGCACGGTGTACCTTCTTGACTCTGTCGTATAGATGTTGTCGGGCACCAATGTACAGACATGTGTTCCATACAGCTGGCTTGCTGGGGGAATTGGTCAGGTGTGATGTGGACACGAATGGATAAACTCTGCAGATTTCTTTACCAAAATGGTTGACCCTTCGTTTCTACTATTCGTTGTCGTGCTCGTGGAGATGGGTTTGGAAGGAAATCAAGGGTTATGATGGGGGATTTCATTTCTTGGAATGGCCTGATCTACGATGTGGGATTGCCATTCTTTCTGGAGTGGTCTGATCGGGCCGAACGAGTGCTGAGAAGAACTTGACCCAGGATAGCACCGAGTTCTGCGCAGTGTCACGTGGAAAATGGGTAAACTGCTCTCGGCTTCATCCATTCAGAACGTGTGCCTATGTGGAGAGTCCGCCAGAGCTCCACTTGCTGCAGTTGTTCTCAAAAAGGAACACTGAAAAAGTGTGACAGATGTTCTGTGTGGTGTACCTTTGGTCGTTGTCAATCTGCATCCAAAATGAAACAGCGATGCTGACTTCCTCCTGTGTTCTTCATACAGGATTGTGTGCGAGCTGGTGGACCTAATCGACGGCGTCTTCATCTCCGTCTCTGTGGGCCCTCCCGCAGGCGAACTCGTTGACTACGATCCCGAGGAGTGGTCCCCGGAGGCTGTGGCGCACTCCGTCCTGGCTGACCGCTCCACTGCCAGGAAGCCCACCGGCGAACGAATCTCCCTCAGCACCTTGCAGACAGTAAGCTCAGAGGTCCATGACGGCCAGATGTACTGCTACTACGAGCACATCTCCCGCGGCTCCCCCACAGTGCGCAACGCCTCCCGGGAGACCTTTCGGCACTCGCTGGCAGTGACGGCCTGGAGGCCGGGAGCGGGCGGGGACCCGTACCTGTACACCCTGAACCTTACGGCGCCGGAGGGCCTGTGGCGGGACCTGGCGCCCCTGTACCAGGGTTCGGTGGAGTCGTTCAGGCTCACGGCAGTCACAAAGGACTACGTGCCCCCAGACAAGATTCCGCTGTTACCCTTTTAGCGTTGAGGGTTGGGGGAGGGCATGGGGAAGTTGGCGGTAGGGATGTGGAGTTGGGATGGACTGGAGAAGAGTGGGGTGGGCAGGATCTGGTGGAGGGGGGTGGATGGGCTTGTAGATGGTACGAGAGGAGGGACTTGCGGAGTGAGGGCCGCAGCATAGACTTCATGTGGGATTATTTATAACTGGAGGTGAAAATTCCTTTGCTCAAATTTGCCAGGGCAGAACAGAGCCCTTGCATCTTGATGGTGACGATGGACACATCGCCATGTGCAAGAAGTGGTGGCATTGTTGGTGCCTAAGTTTTGACCAGAAGTCAGCCAATTGTGGCTTCTTGTAGGTAGCCGTTCATTTCGTCTCCTGGAGTGTCATGCATGACGCTCGCATGTATCTGGCACACAACCTGGGTCATACACGGTGCTGTGTACTCAAAATCGGTGCCCATTATAGATAGTTCTCTGACGTCACGCAAAAAAGGCGGCAGACGAATTGTCCTCGAAATCCAAAATTTGGAGGGCGTCGCGGCAAAATTTCCCTCTGGCGTGAGTTCTATCGGCAACTTGGGGGCCAGAACATCAGCATCACTATCCTTTGCGTCGTTAACAGGAGGCTCATGAACCATCTGCTGTAAGCCACCTTCAGCGGCGTTCACTCGACACTGTACTTGCCAGTGTCAGTCGTCTTCTTCATCTTTGCCTTCATGGCT